AAAACATCTTCAATAATCTATCCTTTTTTTTCCTCCGTTATGTATACGTATTCCCAAATGGTTTCGACGTATACAAGTCTCTACACTGTAAAAAGAAAAGCGCTTGACTGGCCTAGAGAAGAGCACTGTAATGCTTTTCAAACTTTCAAGCAAATGCAAATATTGTCGAACGGAGTATAGAAAGAAGAAAAGAGTACTCGTTGATTTAATATTTTCTTTCATACTCCATAACATTATTTCGAGGTTTCCGTTTCAGCGGCTGCTGAGATAAACGATTCTTGTAGTATATCAGATCAACACGTAAAAAAACGAATGACGTGATGTATGAACTATCTGTTCTATTTCCATCGTATAAGATATATGCACAATGTGTAAAATTAAAATTTTCGTCAAAGCGAAATATTTGTGTTATATTATTATTTTGCATAAAACAAACACGAAACTCAATTTTACATAATTGAGAAAAACTAGATAAAATAATACCAGCATCACCAAATCCTTGTTGTTGAATGTTTTCACTATGTGAAGTGGTACAATTTTCTTGAAAGGCATTATGTATATTGCGATCTTCTTTATTTAATTTTGCTGCTAAGTCATAGTATTCATTATCCATACCAATATTGCAAAGAATATATTTAATTGTCCCAAATAAACATGTACGTTCATCGTCATGAACATATTTGACTTCAAATTTTTTTCCATACGGTATCGAAAAACTTATGTCTTCATCTAACGATTGACTGAAATTTAAAAATTTTATACTATTAACATAGTTATAGCCATAATTAGAATGAGTCTTTTGTTTCAGACAACTATCTCATAAAGCATCCATCATCTCCTCTGTGAGATGTCTCAGAACAGAATTAAAAGGCATACAAACACAACAAGTTTTGACCAGTTGAGTACTTACTTGTTGGTTGTCTTTTCCTGCATATATGGACTGTAGTTAAAACAATCTTGGTTTTGATTCCAAGGTGAATTCGACTGATATCCCGAATTTGTTGAGGAACACGATTCATCCAACATATTTGCTTTAAAAAATCGTAAATCAGAGATGTCTGACTACTTAAATTTCTAAAAAAATAGTTTTCATATGCTAGTTGTTTCTTACTTTTACTATAGTTGATATAGTAGTAACAGTAAATTAAATTATTAAACTTCACTAGTAAAAAAATGTCAAATAAATAAAAAATTCAGACGTTTCAGATGGAAAGATGAAGATACGCTAAATGATAGAACTCGTGACACGACATTACCGCGAGACAATACCACGAACGACATTACCGCGAGCGACATTACCGCGAGCGACATTACCGCGAACGACGTTACCGCGAACGACATTACCGCGAGCGACATTACCGCGAGCGACATTACCGCGAACGACGTTACCGCGAACGACATTACCGCGAACGACATTACCGCGAACGACGTTACCGCGAAC